CTGGGCCGCCGCTGGCTGTGCCGCTTGCAGCGCTCTCGCGCGCCCCTGCTGCCGGCCGCGCTGCTGCTGCCGCTCTGCTTCGCCAACTACGGCGCCGAGGCGCTGGGCCAGCAGGTGCTGCGCCGCCGCCGCGTGCTGTTGCTGCTGGGCGCCGGTGGACCCCTGCTGTACGGCCTCGCCTGCCTCGGTCACTCGCTCGGCGCCCAGGCGCTGCTGGCCGCCGCCGCCCACCTCATCTGCCGGGGGCTCGACTGCTTCAGCAGCCAGTGGGTGAGTTGGGGGGGGTGGTCCCCCACCCGGAGCCCACGCGCTTTCAGCCCTGCCCCGCCCCTTATCTGCATCTCTCTTCCTTCTCTACTTCTAGGCTGACTGTTCTCACCTTGGGGCCTAGTGTTGGGCACAGGCTCTGCTTTCTTTTCCCCCAATGGGTCAGAGATTGATTTTCTTTGTGGCACTTCCCCCCCCCACCCCCTGGCCCCAGGCCTGCTCCAGGCACTTTCCTCTAGGCCAGGGGTTCTTAACCTGTTTTGTACCAGGATCCACTTGTAAATATCAGTGGTCAGTCCCGACCCAGTGCCCCTCACTCTTGACTACTGCCTCTGTCCCCAGCTTGTGGAGCTGGGAGGTGGGAGGCAGGGGGCAAGCAGCCCTTCGCAGGCTGGAGCTCTACTGGCCTGCAAGGAAAAAACCATGGTTTCCCACATTTTTCCCACTTTAAAGAAGAATCAGTTTTTAAAGTTTGCTCGTGACCCTTTCATATATTTTTGCAACCCCCTTTTGGGTCACTCCCCATGGGTTGAGAAACACTGCTTTAGGCAGAAGTGCTTTTCTCATGGCTTACTTGGCCATGACAACCTCCAGGTGACTGGGCAAGGGATGTATATAACACAGTACTGTAACCACAGCTGTAGCCAGCAACATTTGAGTTAAGAATTGTTAACATGGCTAGCATAACTAATTCCTTTGAAATAGGAACTAGCTTTGGAGCTGGGGAAACACTAGCATTTTCTCATGGAGTGTTGTCTGTCATTGGTGTGCAGAGCTCATTGAAGTTCTCCCGAAGAGTTTGTGGTTATACACAGATCTTCTTGCCATGTAAAGTCACTGGCTATAACAGCTTTCCTGCTATGGGACCAATGGCTACTGATTCCACCTCATCATGGGCTTGGCCTGGTTAGGAGCCCACCTCAGCCGCAGGCCTTAGAGAGACAGGTGCTCACCTGTTCCAGGGCCTTAACCACCTGTTCTAGGGCTGCGACCTGCAGACCGGGTCCTCCCAAGTGAGCCTCCTATTAGTGTCTGGTGACGCAACCTCGAGTAACCACGGGGCCCTGACTTTTTAAAACAGTGGTTCTCAACCTTTTTTAGACTCATAGCACCCCTAGATAGACTTGTAGCTCCTCTCAGAAGATGCCAGCTCTTAGCTTTCACTTGTTTTGACTACAAAAAATAATACAGCAGTCTTTTACCATCATGGGTTTCTGTTTGAAATCTCAGGGTCTATCTTGTGAATCCTGTTTTTAAATCGAAGGGTGCCAGTGTTGCATGGCACCCTCCAGCACCCTTGACAGACTCAGAATCACTAGGTTAAACATGCTAACGTGCCAGTAGGAAAACTGCTCTGGAGAAAAAGATTCTGTTAGAAGCCTGCATGTGCAAAAGTCAAGGTGGTTGAAGGCCTGGTTCTGGGTTACCCCCTGTCCTGCATAGAAGTTGAATGCAAGGCAGTGGGATTCTTCTGAAGGGCAAACAATTTTGGCACTTAACTGGTCTCATTTCTGCCAGCAAAAGAACTGTCTTGCCTGTGTATGCGACCTGGCCCAGGTATCATGGGATATAGTAGTCACACTATTAACTCTTAGCTGAACTGCAGGCTACCTGCATGCTGGTGGGGAGGCATAGGAAAGACTGGTGGGCACTACTGCACTTCTTATAATTGGCATGCTGAAAGTCACACTGTCCTGCAAAGAATGTATCATGCTAAAAGACAAATGCTAAAATTAGAGGCAGGTTTCATATAAGGATCCAATGGCTCTTGGCATGCAGGTTTGACTTAAGATGTTACAGAGCAGACTGCACAATATTGGCAGGCATAGGAGACTTTTGTGATGCTGAAGTAAGCTGTGCTGTAACATGTGGATGGGATCTCACTTGTTTGTGGAAAGCAGATATAATGATGGGCTTTGAAAGATTGCACCTGAAAGAAATACGTACAACAAATGAGAAAAATTTGGCTTGAAACTCAAGGGTTATAGTCTGGAAAAAACTTCTGTAAAACTGAATCAGAGAGTTTGTCACAATAGCAGCATGTTTATTTTCCAGTTTTGATAATGATGTGCTTATTCTTCTAATTCTGATCTTTTGCACAAGGATGCTATATAATATTAAAAAGTAATGCAGTTCTGCCTCGAACTTCTGGAGCAACTTGTGTTTTGCTGCTCAATGGTTGATATGTTTTGCTTTTTGTATCTTATGTCACAGGTACTTGGAGCTAGGCACAACACTTAGTTGTTTTTAAAGTATTCTCTGTCTATGCTAGTCCTGTGAACATTTAAGTATGTATGTAACTTGGCTTCTACACATGAAGTTAAATGTTTTGTAGAATGTTAGGGTGAGAAGCATTTCAGAAATGGAAGGCATTATTACTTATTAAAACATGTTTTATAATACCAGCCCATAGTAAGAACTTCTGAAGTAGGCTATACCTTTGTGCATCTGTGCTTTTCGAGGAAACTTAGAACTAGGGATGCACCGATGGAGATTTTGGAGGCCAATACCAATAGCTGACCTTTAAGGAGGTATAACGGTCGATACCAATCCAATTTCCCATACAGCTGTGTGCAGCTGATAAGTCTATTTTAGTGGATGGTGAGGGGGGAGGGAAGGGACATGGGGAGGGCAGATCAAGGCCCCTGCAGAGAGGGAGTGGGGCTGGTGTTGCCTAGCTGGGGCGGGGGATAGAGCCATGGGGATGGGGGGGAGGCGGTTCCCGCAGGTGTGCGGACTACCAGTTCTTCCCTGTTGGTCAGGACAAGATCAAAGATGGACAATACCCTAGTCGTATCCTCAGCGTTCTGGAACAGAACATTGTCCTCTATGTAAGTTCGGAATCAGCTAGACACTTTGTTTGGCTGTATTTCCCTTTCAGCAGATATCTGGAAAATCAAAGTTTCCTATCAGTACCATCCCATAGCTTTTGGATAGATTTGTTACCTGCTTGAAGAGTGACAAATCCACCTCCACTTCCTGATTTGGTAGCCTATAATAAATCCCCACCATATTGGTGACTTATCTTTCACCTTTCATCTTCACCCAAATGCTTTTTGCTTTGCTGTCGTCTTCCTCCTGAACCAGGGATCAACTGTGTGTGTTTTTGACATGCAAGGGAACACTGTCACCTTTTCTCCCAACCCAGTTCTTCCAGGACAGAGTGTAACTCTTGATGTTGACATTCCAATCATAAGATCTGTTCAACCAGGTCTTGGTGTTGCCAATCAGATTATAGTTCTTTTCACAAGGCTTCAGCTTCCAACTCGTCTTGTTTATTTCCCAAACGTCTCTCATTTGTACATATGCATCAGATGTATTTTACATTTTGACCTCTTTGTTTCCCTTTTGCACCACTTGTTGCAGTCCTGTAGCTCTTTGGCCCTTTCCCAGAGCTGAGATGCTTTTTCAAGTCCTCTCTCCTCTGAACTGCGTGCCCTTTTGCTGGAAGGTTTTGATCACCATCACCTGTGGAACCTAATTTAAAGTCCTCCTTACTAGGATGGTCAGACAACACCCCAAAATGCTCTTCCCTGTTCTTATCAGATGAGTCCCATCTCTTGATAGCAGTCCTTCTCCCAAGAACAGATGCCCATTGTTGAAGAAGCCAAAGCCTTCACTGTCTCAACCATGCATTCACTGCCAGGATACAGTGGTCTGTGTTTGCACCCTTGCCTTCTGTGGGAAGAATCGATATGAATACCACTTGTGCTCCAGGCTCCTTAGTCCTCCTGCCAAGAGCCTCATAACTGCCTATCTGCTCAGTGTCATTCCTGGCAGTATTGCTGGTATTTACTTGGACAAGTAGGAAGAGGGTAGTGGTCTGAAGGATGGATGACCTTTGGCAGACTCTGTGATGTCTTGAATTCAGGCTCCAGGCAGGCAGCATATCTCTGTGCCCACTCATCTGGGTAACAGGTTGGTGCCTCTGTCCCTTTCAGAAGGGAGTCGCCAACCACCACCACTCTTCTCTTCCTTCTTGGTGTAGTGGTCCTGGAGCCCCTGTCTTTGGGGTCTTGCACTTCCTGCTCTCTAGGCTGCCAATTCTTCTGCCTCGTGCCTGCAGATGTCTTCCGTGTCTTTTCCTCAGCAGTTCTGCTGCAGAGTGCTTGAAAGTGGTTTCTGACTTCAGTCTGCTGTTCTTCAGTTTTGGGGACTCTCCTTAAGAGTAGTCACATGCTGCTGCTCATTGCCCTTTGGCCTCTTCATTACCTGTTTCTCATAACTCTTGTCAAAGTAATTTTCTTGTTCCTTGATGCAATACAGCATGAATACCCATGCTTCCAACCTTCGAGTCTTCTCCTCCAGAACAGACACCAGCTTGTGTGTGGTGCAGATGAAGTGATGTTGACCCTCAGGGAGGAACAGGAACATGACACATCCTGAGCAAGTCACAATCTTTGACCCAGATTCCATTTGTACCTCTTTTTCTCCCTGGAAAACACCTGTGCTGTAAGGAGAGAAAAAAAGAGGAGGGGGAGACATGTTACAAGATCTGGCATATACTGAATACCTGCACCAGGGCCCTTGCACACTCACAGATGTTCACTGAGTCTCCTGCTCCCCGGTTTCCTCCTTGGGTGGACTTGTTTCTGTTCGCTGCTCTCAGTTTGCTGGGGGTTGTCTTTTAAAAAGGCTGACTGCTAGCATCACCCATCAGTTAGCTAAACCAGTCCCACCCAGAGCAAGCCCTGTCACTCAGTCACTTTGTGGGGGGGAGGAGGGGAAGAAAAGAAAAAGGAGAAAAAAAGCCCGGTGGGGGGGCAGTAAACACACACCACAGGGGAAGAAGGGAAAAAATAAACCCCCCATATACTCGCACTAGGTGAACACTTTAGCACCAGTCAGTCATCATAACCGACTGTCAGTAGCACAGAGAAAAGCCTCAAGGCAGCGTCTCAAACCAGCACAGCTACCAAATACATCCCTGAAACATGGAAGATGCCAAATTTTAGCCAATTTTTGGATTTAAACTTTGTTGCTGAACAACAAGAAATACTTTA